ATCCCGGGATATTAGAGAGACAAGGTGGGTGAGATAATATCTTTTCTTGGACCAACTTCTGTTGATGAGAGAGAGACAAGCTTTTGAGAGCTCTGTGTGGCTCAAAGCTTGTCTCTCTCACCAACAGAAGTTGGTCCAAGAAAAGATATTACCTCACTCACCTTGTCTCTCTAATAACAATCTGTACACTTGACTCTGCTTGAATGACCAGATTCTAATAACACTTTCTCTAAAAATATAATGCTCCTGTACCTTTGGTCCCACGCAGTCCAAAATTATTTTATCATTAGATGCCTCTCTGGACCTCCCTCCACCCCATTTATACACTACTGGTTTTTCATCTCTGACTAACTGCATGCTAATATCAGGCAGCTGAGTAATCCTTTTGCTTTGTGTGATTTCCTATGTGCATTCCCCCTTTGGAGTAAAAGGAAATGCCTGGGCTAAACCTACTGCATCAGATTTGAAAAGAATGACTTCCTTCTAGCTGAGACAGGCTGAATACTGAGTGAGCCACTGGGAGACTTCCTTTGAATTCCCTAATTGGGTAGGTTTGTTATCTCTTGCTGCCCATCAGTTGACTAACATTTAAAACCGGTAAAGGCCATGGAGCCACCTGGCTTAGTGAGGAATGGAAAAATGCTAGTTTGCGTTGTCTGAAGAGGATGGCTTGGCAAAGGAGTTTTCTTTTCACTTTAGAGTTTTGTTAATTCTAAAAATGCCCATGGTGTAGAATTTATAGTGAGGGTGGGGTGTATCTTCATTCTGAAATTTACCATTGTAAGGGGACTGTTGGTCCCTTACTGACACTCAGTGGGGTTTTTTTGGTTGGTCACCTCCCAGTACCAGAAGAAAGGGGAAGGGCCAATGTCTATCAGGGATGGTCTAGACAGTATTTGGTCCTGCCATGCGGGCAGGGGACTGGACTCGATGACCTCTCGAGGTCCCTTCCAGTCCTAGAATCTATGAATCTATGAAATCAGGACCCTGAGACTAACAATTCTCAGGGCCAATGGGGAGAGGCCAACGTTCTAGGTCAGCCTGATTGACAGAGCAGGCAGGCCAATGAAGGAGTCAGGAGGTTGGGGGTCCCGTCCTCTGTGTGAGCTGGAGCTGCCTAGGCCAGAGTGGGGCTGAGGGAAGGCGAGAGCAGGAGCCTGAGCTGAGCCGGGGAGCAGCCCAGAGAGCTGAGCTGGAGGCAGAGCAGCAGCGCGTTGGCAGAGTGGAGCGCGGGCTGGAGCCAGGTGCGCTGAGCAGCTGGGCAAAGTGAGGGGGTTGCTGGGCAGGGAGACGCCCCCAGCCAAGAGGCCTTGCAGGCCGAACTTGAAGGGGGATCATAACCCTGATGTGGGGGAGGAGGGATAGCTCAGTGGTTTGAGCATTGGCCTGCTAAATCCAGGGTTGTGAGTTCAATCCTTGAGGGGGCCATTTAGGACACTGGAGTAAAAATCTGTCTGGGGATTGGTCCTGCTTTGAGCAGGGGGTTGGACTAGATGACCTCCTGAGGTCCCTTCCAACCCTGATATTCTATGATTCTAGTTGGTACTGGGGAGAAGGGCCCTGCTATCTAGTAGTGCCTGAGGGCATGTGGCCATCACCAGAGCAAGTGTCTGACCTGCAGCACTGCCAGGGCCTGGGACATGTGAGGAACGGACTGTGAACTGCCCTGACATTCCAGAGACGGCTGTTTGTGGTGTCCCTGTGCCGGGGTTATGTGTTTTCCTTTAACCTTTCCCATTTTTTCCTTATTTTTTTTTAATTGGTTTCTGTTTAATAAATTGCATTTGCTTTGAACTGTATGCAATGATCAGTGGGTCAGGGACGTGTCCAGAGCAGAGAGAGTACCCTGGAGTGGAAGCACCCTAGCCCCTGTCCTAAATGACCACAATAAGATTCGGGGTTGGTCACCTAGGAATCCTGGGCCCAGCCTTGTCGGGATTACAAGGACTCTGCCATACAGGAGAGTGGAAGGGGAGCTCTCGAGGTCAGGCAGGCCTCGGTAAAATGAGGGGGAGCGACGACTCAGATCCTTTCAATAGCCAATTTCAGTGGGGTAGTGTATAAGCCAGAAAAGTTCCCCACAATAGTGAAACCACTCCCCCACTTACACAATGATTGTGTAACCTTGGAATTTTCAGCTGATCTTCTTAGATATTAATTGGCTAATGTTTTTACAGCGCTGTGTAGGTGTAAAGGGCTATTGAATTGCTAGGTATTATTATTAATGATGATGTGGTTTTTCACAGAATCATAGACACATTAGAGAGCGAAAAGTTCCATTGGCTCATTTAGTCCATCCCTTAGGCAATATAAGATTGTTCCCTACCAGCTATTTTCTAATACCTTTTCCAGCCTAATTTAAAATGTCTTGAGTTATGGCGCTTCTATCGTTTCCCTTGCGAGACGATGTTACAGCCTAATGGAGCACACCATGAGGAAGTTTTTCATAGCATTCAGCCTAAATTTTCTATGTCTTAATTTAATCTCAGAACAGTTCTTCTCCCTTGTTTGTTTCCACCCTTCAAATACTTGTAGGCAGTTATCATCAGTCGTGGTGATAATCATGGTCCAGTCACGTTACCTGCAGCCACTTTAAAATAAGGGATGATTTTAGTTGGCATTTATTTAACTGGGTGCAAATGACTAAGTATTTAAGGTGTAACCACATAAGGTGCAATTAAATACAACTCCACTGAGGTAAATACCCACTGAAGAGACTACATAACAGAAATATAATTGTCAGGTGATACATGGATTTTAGATTTAATAATTGGATTTCCAACAAGAACAAGGTAACGTCATAGGATCCTATTCAATGACCACAATATACAAATTTTACATTAAAGAGGCTCCCCGAGGCCATGGAATTGATCTGGATTTTACACATGATTATCCTGTTATCAGAAAACAGCTGTGGGCCATGGAAAATATTGTGTCAAAGTTCAATGGTAACTCCCAAAGACAACCAAAGGGGGAAAAGAAAATTTATTACAAACCACTCTCCTCCTCTTACTCCCCTTCCTGTGCCCATGCTGGCTAGAATGTCTGCTTAGCTATTTGGGAATATCACGATGCAGAGCCTGGGAATATCTGTTCTTAGAGTAGACATGTACTATTGCGCTATGTATTTGCCTTTAAGGTTTCCTCGTGTATATTAGGTCAACCCTTCCCTGTACAAGTACGTCATTGTGTTCTGTCCATTGGAGGATCAACACATCTTCCAGAGGAGTTACCATCCCTACACTAGGAGAGACACACCTTCATTTTCTGAAACAATTTATTGGATGAGGCTAAAGAAAGATGAAGTAAGCAATTCACAGCACATAGAGGTTTTACTTACTGAATCAGAATTAGTGTGCAAAGGTGTCAAGTTGAAGCCAGTAGAGTTTTCATGGCCAGAACTTGTAGAAAATTAATTTCTGCTGAATAGGGCCCATAGCAGAAAAGGAGTGATCACATGGTATGGTTAGTAGTAGCTTAGGCCTGGTCTACACTATGAGTTTAATTCGAATTTAGCAGCGTTAAATTGAATTAACCCTGCACCCGTCCACACAACGAAGCCATTTATTTTGAAAGAAAGGGCTCTTAAAATCGATTTCTGTACTCCTCCCCAATGAGCAGAGTAGTGCCGAAATCGATATTGTCATTTCGAATTAGGGTTAGTGTGGCCGCAATTCGATGGTATTGACCTCCGGGAGCTATCCCACAGTGCACCATTGTGACCGCTCTGAACAGCAATCTGAACTCGGATGCACTGGCCAGGTAGACAGGAAAAGCCCCGCGAACATTTGAATTTTATTTCCTGTTTGCCCAGCACAGGAGAGCACAGGTGACCACAGAGAGCTCATCAGCACAGGTAACCATGCAGGCCGATAATCGAAAAAGAGCACCAGCATGGACCGTACGGGAGGTACTGGATCTGATCGCTATATGGGGAGAGGATTCAGTGCTAGCAGAACTTCGTTCAAGAAGACGAAATGCCAAGACTTTTGAAAAAATCTCCAAGGGCATGATGGAGAGAAGCCACAATAGGGACTCAGAGCAGTGCTGCGTGAAAGTCAAGGAGCTCAGACAAGCCTATCAGAAAACTGCCCCCAGCCCTGCCCATGGGACTCCCTGCCCACAGGTGCCCACCCCAGTGGCCATGCTGGAGGAGCTGCCAGTGCGGGGCACTGCGCAGCTACACAGATACTGATTTATATCCGCAGATACACATTTTGTATCCATGCAGTGTTTTACAAATCATACCCGCTGATATTTCATACCTGTACTAGCATAATAGATGTTAGTTTTTGGTGACTGTTTGTTTCTCAGGGAGTTGATAATAGATTGTATCCAATAACCAAAACAACAGTGATTGCTATAATTTTGGGGTATGGTAAAGATTAAGATAAAACCTATTCAATAAAACCATATTTCTATATCAAGGCTACAGACTGTGTGATGACTGAAAACTTAAATCGAGCTTACTGCAGCCTGAGTACCTGTGTTAGAAGCTGTGACATTCTCTCTATCCCAGACAAGCCCCACAGGCAGAAGACTGCTATAGAGCATTCCACCAAGCAGTTGAGAAGCCTTCCCAGGGTCAGTTAGGATGTGGAGATGGGGAGCAAGCAGTGAAATCCAGCAGAGACTTTTGTGTCTCTTGTTTGGGGCCAGGTAGGAAACCTCAAGGTCTAGGCCGTCTGTAGTTTTTCCACTGGGAGGTGAGGAAAACTCCTTGTGAGCAAAAATACTCAAGTTTATTTCCTGCTTTTAATCAGCATGTGTGATGTACAAAGCTCAAGAGAGCCTTCTAGTGTGGTTCATCTGGAGATAAATACCTAACCAGTAACAGAGGCATAATGACCAATTTTTGGCAGACTTATGTTGGAAATAACTATGGAAACATGGTCTTAACTAACAAGCTGTTTACTTAGCATGTTTAACGAGTCATTACATACAGTAACTTCCTCAGTCCTTTTGCAATAATGCCCTATTCTCATAAAGGGCTCCAAGTCCATTGTCTGTGAACACAGACAGTACACTTATAATTAACCTTCTTCTTAAGAACAATTGTATTCAACAACAAAAACAAAAACTACACAGACTTCCTTGCCCCAGAGTCGTCAGGCTCATAATCATGTTCCAAAATGGGTTTTAACTTGGCTTCTTCTGGCTGTTTCTGTGCCTCCTCTCGCCTGCTCCCATCTCTCAAAAGTGGAACCAAGGTCTTCCAGTTTTTCCCTGAAACTTATAAGCAAAGTGGCTATTAATGTTTTTTTCCTATAGAAACAGACCAGAATATTCCTGGTTTCCAACACAGAGGGAAGCTGACATAAATATAAAGCACAAGTGAAGATTTTATTCTTCTAAGAGTTTTATTCTTCTGTCAGTTTTCCATTCTTTTAAGCTGACAAGTACACCCACTGATCTATGAACTGGGGTTCTTCTGCGCCGATTAGTGAGCTACTGCACTGTGGGGTTGGGGCATCACAGGGTGGCTCCTAGGGTACACTGCTGCCATCTCTACCCAGCTCACCAAGGTGTGCCGCTCATTACACACCATGCAAACATCCAGAGTGAGGAATTGGAGGGAGCTAAAGAATTCCAAAGAATAAAACTGCAAAATGAATAAAGGGTTAGTTCGTTTTAATCCTTTTGCCCACTGTGTTCATTGAACAGCAGTTCATGTAGCTATTCGAAGTTTCACTGAGAGATGTATAAACTTGCACTACATTATGCTGCCTCTATAACCAAATGTATAGTCTAATACTGTCAGAATATGGGAAGAACCAGAGGGTTTTCATGCCTGGATTCCTCACCTCTGCTAGACTTAAAAGAAAAACTTGAGTTTCGCTTCAAGCCCATGCTGTATCCGGGCTCCTCGTTGATTATGCCCAGATTAGTGTTCCATGTGGACCAGTTCACCTCATCGACTCTGGAGAGAGAACAAAAGTGATTTCATGTTGAAGGGGATCTAATTTATTCTCCAGAAAAGGATCTAGAGTCTCGAGGACCGTACGCACAGTATAACTTTGTTACGGAACCAGTTCCCTGTGTGAACAAGCTACTCAGATAGTTCTTGTAGAATAGTAATTACTACTCAAGGTTCACAGCAATAATCCTAGAATTTTTGTGAAGTGAAGTGTTGCAGAATGCTGCTGGCCTAATCTCCCTGTGGCTTTAATGTTCTGTATTAAAGTCCCTAATATACCAAATAAAATTCACCATCTACTGGATATTTGCAAAAGGCCACTCTCACCCTGAGGACTAAGGCAACTGCCCATAAAGAATTCTGTAACATTCACCTGAGGAGAAACCTACCTGACTCAATGGGTACGTCTACACTTACAGTAGGGTCCGGCGGCAGGCAATCGATGTTCTGGGATCGATTTATCGCGTCTGGTTAAGACGCAATAAATCGATCCCGGATCGATCCCGGAAGTGCCCCGGATCGATCCCGGAAGTGCTCGCCGTCGACGCCGGTACTCCAGCTCGGCAAGCGGAGTATGCGGCATCGACGGGGGAGCCTTCCTGCCGCGTCTGGACCCGCGGTAAGTTCGGACTAAGGTACTTCGAATTCAGCTACGTTATTAACGTAGCTGAATTTGCGTACCTTAGTCCGAAGTGGGGGGGTAGTGTAGACCAGGCCAATTAAATTTATATCATACTATGCAGAGAAACACCAAGGGATTCCATAGTCACACTCTGTCCCTGTGTCCCAGGGCAGAGGATTGGCTGTGGGCTGGTGAATCCATGACTATGCAGATCCACTGGCCAATCACCATACAAGGAAGAGTTTGGGCTATCGCAGGCCTGCTGTGTAACAGTTCTGCCAATGCTTCATGGTTTGGCAGGGGAATGCCATAGATGTCCCTCTTGCATAGGTCAGATACTCAATCTCTACACTCTGGCCAGGATTCTCCACACTGAGAAATTTGTGTCCCAGTGGCCCAAGAAGTAAAGCAACATAGAATCAGATATGGAAAGAAAAAGGCTCAGCTGCAGTATCTGTTCATTATCAGTTGAGCTATGATGCTGCTTTGAGACTGACAGCGATGAGGGGACATAATGCTGCTATTTTAATATAGAAGGTCTGCTTGGCATTCTGGCATCTCAGACCCCACAGGCTGGACCAAGTCTATTGCAAATTGGACTAAGAACCCATTTCACTCACGCCACTGAACAACCATCACTTAGTGTAATTTTTGGTCACCCTAAGTTTAAAAGCTCTACATCTCATTACCAGTTATTGAGCCATCCCAGGCCTGTAGATGTGTTTCTGTAAAAGATTATCTATTTAAGATAAAACCAGGTTACCTGAAACACCATCTGTAATCGTCCTTGTCATCAGGTGTGGTTCCCACTAAGACTCGCTTCCCGGATCGGAATGAGTTTATCATACAGTTCAGGTAGCTATTTTCGATATTCAAGATGGTGATGGCTCTCTACCAATTGAAAAAAGCAAAGGGAGTGGGGAACAGCTGGCATGTAACTATATTTATACAAATGTCGAGTCCTTTCTTTATAAAACAAGAATCCCCGAACTTTCACCTGCATTGTCAGCCTAGGGCAATGATCACACCAACCACAAATCATACAATTTCTCTAGAAGTGTGTCTTTTAAAATGATAGATGATTACTGTTATGTAGTCAGAACTACAGGGTTTCTTTTCGTACACAAAAGCTGACATGGCATTATCTGCAAACCTGGCAGAAGGCACTTGCTTTCCTCCAATGCATAATCTCTATCTTTTCGTATTCTGATCATGGTTTTCCAGTGTCAAGAGCCTAAATGCCTTCAGCTTTTTGACTCTGTTATTGTCTAATAATAAAAATATTTATTTTCTTAAACTGCAAACATCTGTGAAATATTCAGTGTATACCAAGAACATCTGCTTAAACAGTGCATCATACACCAGATGAGGAAAGGGACCAAGGACAGTCATACAGGCTTGTGCCCGTGGGTAAGGAATCAAAAGATAGACATTTATCTATCACAGTCTTTCTATCAGGGATGGTCTAGACGGTATTTGGTCCTGACATGAGGGCAGAGGACTGGACTCGATGACCTCTCGAGGTCCCTTCCAGTCCTTGAATCTATGAAAGACATGAAAATCTGCAAGTTTAGAAACATACCAATCCCTCCAGATTCCCCTTAAAGCACTTATCCCCCAAGTTCTCTTTCTAGTTCCAACATGAAGACCAGAACCCTTGGGGGGGATCGACAAACCTGGAGTTTCCAGATGCTCTTACTCTCTTGTGCGATCTTGTTCACAGTTTCCCCCATCAGCGCAATCAGCATGTTGAGCAGGAGAATGTAGGTGAGGATGACGTAGAGGACCAACAGGATGACAAAGACAGACTTAAACCTGTAGTTCTCGGTGAACTCTAGATCTCCCATGCCAATGGTGAACTTGAACAGCTCCAGGCAGGTGTAATACAGACTGTTGTATGACGTGCGGCCACACTTCAGCTGGCCTGATCGGGTGCAGAGACAGCTGTCATTTTCATGTCCCTCATAGTCATCTTCAATCAGAGTCACCACAGCTGTTGCAAATGGGAGGAGCCATGTATACAAGAAAAAGATACTCAGAAACCATGCTCATTTTGAAAACAATGAAAAATTGCAAAGATGTATCTGATTAGACACAATATATTGATGGCCATTGACTGCAGGTGGAGTTGTGGGGAGTCAGAAGCTCTGAAAAATCAGTCCCCAGGATTCTAAAGTTGGGCACCCAACATGGAGGCATCCAAAATTAGAGATTACTTGAAAATGTGGTGTCTCAGTTTCTCCATCTGTGAAATGGGAATAATGCTGCTTGGCCAGCCACTTTGAGATCTATGGTAAAAAAACCCATATAAATACTAAGTAGTAGTATTCTTTATTTTTGTATGGAGGTAGAGATTTTGTACGGGGGCGTGATGTAGATTTCTTAGTTTCTAGTTGGTAAAGGGAATTCTAAATTAACTGAAAAGATAATTTTTGCTAAATCTCATTGATTCTCTAAGAAAAAATAACTCCCAGGGTGACATTACCTGTAGAAAATCCCAAGAGAAATACTAGGTAGACAAACATGAAGCGACATAAATCCCTCAGGATCATCTGCAACATGGAAACAGAACATTTTATAGGAATCTAATACAAACTGCAACCAAGAGTGGTGGAAAGTCCTGATTTGGCTCCAAGAAGGAACTATACAATGTGAACCCACTGCTCTTGCCTTACACCATGACTGAGTTTCCGAGTACTGGCTTTCAATATAGAGAACATTTCCTTTGCATTATTCATAAAACCTATTAGATGCATATGCAATATATCTAATGCCAAATATATTTTCAACCTTTCATGTGTGAATCAAGCTAAGACAGTGTGGTTCTTTTTCCCCCTCTATAGACTACTTGGCTAGACCACATGAAGAGGTCAGACTTCTTTGTGGAGAAGGCCTGAAGATAATCGAGGAGAGTAGAGTTAACTGACATGAGCCTTTTCAGACTCGCTGGCAACAGTGAGTAGATTTCCCCCCCGAAGGTGAAAACAAAGCTGCTCTCCCTGGTTTAAACCGCAAGGTTGTCGGTGATGGTACTTTCCAGGCCTGTGAAAATTCAGCAGTGCTTGCCAGCTGCTCCCTAGACTGACCTTCTCAATCATGACAGAGTAAATTCCCATCTGCTGGAAGCCTCGGGTGTAGTACAGCATGTTAGCCCAGCCCAGGGCCAAGGAGAACACCATGGATGCCACATAGAGTTCCTGGCCACAGAAGTACAGCACCACTGAACTCAACAGGAACAGTGAGTGGACAAAGCTGAAAGACAAGCATGGTCCAAGCATAGAGTGCAGATCCTCCCAGGCAGGCAAGAAAGGAGGGATGAAGGCATACGCAGTGGACTCAGGAACTCCCCAAAAGCACATTAGAACCCATCTGGACAGACATGTCCTCCTAGGCCAAACTCCATCCCTTGAAAGATTCTTTCCTTTCACGCTTCACTTGTCTTCTGCACCCTCCACAATTCCTCTCCCCTTAATAACTCCCGAGTTTCCCGCATACCCCTGTTTCTCCAACCCAGCTGTTGTTCTTCTGCCTTGCAGGATGTCAGCAAGACAAGCCACAATTCTCTGTTGTCCTCGAGTGCTACTCTCTCTGGCACTCCCTCTCTTTCACCACAGAACTGGCAGCAGTTCAGGGAGCTGCCCTGTGTAGCAGCCTTCCGACTGGGGAAGGCAGAGGGTTCCAATAGCATAAAGCGGAAGGTACCATTGGGGACAAGAGAGGTTTCAGCATGACCCAGTGCACAGGGCACTGGACTGCAAGTCAAGAGTCCTGGGATCAATTCCTGGCTCTGCTGCGGGACCCAGACAGTTAACCTCTCAGCACCTCACCTTCCCCACCTGTAAATGAGGGTTATGACCTGGAGCCACCTGTGTAAAGTGCTAGGAGAACTGGGGGATGAAAAGCACTGTGCTTATTTCAAAGCCCGCACATGCAATGCCTGGCTCAAGCCAAGGCCATGAGTCCCTCAGGCTCCTAAATGCCACATTCAAACGCAAAGAAAGAAGTTGCTGAGAAGCTTACAAAAGAACCTCACTGTAACTGTCAGCTAGCAGAGTCTTCAACGAGGGCCGCCTCTGCAGGAAATATTGTATCTGCAAAAAAGGGAGACGAAAGGCCAGTTTCAGGTTGGCAAGTACATTTCCACTGTGAATCTTCCCAGGGACCCATCACTCTGTATCTAAGTGCTGACCGTTATCTGGGTCAAAATTCTTGGAAATGCTGCTGCAACCACTGCCCCTCTAAGTGCTGGGAAGGTCTGCTGAGCTGGGTCCAAGCCGGGAAAAGGGAAACAGCTCACCCTAAGTTAGCCCACAAGAACCTCTCAAAAGCAACACACATTCCAGTAAGCAGGAGCCTCAATTATGGTTATCCCCTCAGTGTAGCACTACTCTGGAGCCTGCAGCTTGTGTGGGAGCAGCAGCCCATTTGCTCACTGGTTTGAGCAACTGTGATCACATTATACTTGCTGTGTGTTCTTTACATTGGCCACCATACAGTAGCAGTTTGTGTTTAAAACAGCACTGATGATCTCTAAAGTCCTTAATGGTGCAGGCCCTGGCTATATTCAATACCCCCTTAAGCCTTGCCTAGGTTTGTATCTGTGCTCAGGCACTCCTAGACTTTGTAGGGCCTTCCCTCTCATACAGTAGGACGACAGGCAACTGCACCTTAGCTTTGTAACTCAGTAGAAACCTGACAGCTCCTGGCCATCTGTAGCTTTCGAGTGAGGGATGGACTCTAATAGCAGCTCGCCCAAATCAAGGGGGGCACCTATTTTTGGCTCCCACCTATCCACATGGCTCTAAGGAGAAATTTCAAAGCTCTTACCCCTCTGAAAAAGAAATAGAGACCTCCCAGCACACTCAGGATCTCTCCAATGATACGAAAACACTCCTCGGTGGTGTATTCAAATTTGAAGGGAGGCTGCATAACACAGGAGCAAAGGATCAGCACAGCTGAAGATGGAAAAGGACCTGTCAGCTGACAGTTGAAAGTGCTTGGCTTCCCTAGGATTGGTCCCTAAAAGCACTGCTTCCTCCATTCTCCAAGGAGGGGGCTGGAGGAGGAATCCTTCCTCTGTGCTTTTTCTCCCCCTCACTCGGGAAAGAAGGAAGAACCTTTTAAGCTCTGGCACCAATAACATGACAGGCAGGCCTGGGAATTCATCCCCGGGGTGGTCACACTGATGAACATGACCAGTGAAGTACCTTTCCATGTTTCTCCACAGGTCTGAAGTAGGCGGCCAGGGTGAGTATGATAATGTGCATAGCATAAACAAAGAAGTTGAAGTAAAATAGGCGTTTGACGAATCGGTCCCACTTGTCCTGCAGCAGCCTGTTCAGGGGCTCTACCAGTAGCATCTCATGGCGATTCTGCGAGGGGGATGAGAGAGAGAAGGAATGCGAGTCCCAAAGAAGCCAATACACACATAAGATGAGAGAGCACCTGCCAAAGGTCTTTGCAAACAGTAAATGAAATCTCATTTCATCCCCAGCGAACACATTCTCCAATCCCCGGAAGGCAGGGAAGTGTCATTATCCCAGTTTCACAGATAGGGAAACTAAAGTAGAATGATTTGTCCAGGGTTGCTCAGTGAGTTAGGAGCAGAGCTGAGAAGAAGAAGCCAGGAGGCCTGTCTCCCAGTCCCCTGCTCTAACTAAAATGTTTCTCTCAGGAGCCCAAAGGAGTGCCAGGGAATGACATACAACACAGAGGCTTGCTGAATGGTATGACTGTACCCTTACTTGTCTGAGCGAGCACTCCTGTGAACAGTACTGCTGGCTTCAAGCCAAAGGGGAATATTTGCAATAAAGAGTCCTGGGATTAACTTCCACAGTCAGGTGGGCAAAAGGAATGTCAGTGCATAGACTCGTGCCAAGAAATTACAACTCAGCACTGTTCCTGATCACTATTTACTTGTAACAAAGCTCTGCAAAATGGTGCAAACCTTCAGAGACATGCACTATACAGAACACAGCTGACCACTGAACCCAGTAAAAAAGTGTAGAGGAGGTTTCATACTCACTGGTGTTTTGCTGCTATACGCAATGATCTCAAGCACTGAGTTTTTCTCACACGTGTCTATGGAGGACAGGTCATAAAGAGATGAGTGGACGGGTCCATAGGCCCATTCGGTGAACTTCCTAGACAGATGCCTACACTCAGGCTCTTTGATCTCTCGTCTAAGGATATAGGCGAAAATCTGATCATAAAAGAAGAATATGTGACCAACATTTCAGCTATGGTAGATTTTTTGTTACTCAGTTTCTCAGTAACACAGGAGGTCAGATTCCTCCCTGGCTTAACTGCACTGATGTCAAGCCATTAGGATACTGTACAGCTCACAGCTTGCAATATCCAAAAGCCAGTGATCTCATTGGGTTCTGGGGCAATATGAATGTGGCAAACGGGCTAATGCAGTAGCACAAAGAAGTGTCTCTCTGGACTCTTCCAGTTAAGATTCATGACCATCTTTGGCCTCTCAAACCTAAAGCAGACATCTAGAGGCACCTGTTTTGTATCCCTTTGAGGTCACTGTCTTGGTGAATGGGAAATGTTTTGGAATTGGCCATGTCAGCCAGTCAAAGATGCACTTCCTACTCCACCTGAGAGAGCAGCCAGGGCACTTTTACTGTTTCCATCGAGGCTGACATATGTGTAGTGATACTACATGACTCCCTCTGGACACATTACCTAGATTATGCCAATGCTTTGCTTTTTAAACTCCAGCATTAAGTCCTGCAAAGTTTTCCACCATCTCAGTCTACTAGGCCCAGGCAGCAAGTAATGACATGTACCCAGTGTAAATGTTTTGATTATACTGTGTGTCATTTGAAAGGGTAACAGGTATGTGTCCACCTACCCCTATCTTCCCTTTCTTTGCAGCCAGGGTTAAAGGAGTCAGTCCCTTCTTGTTAGTGATCTCTTCCAGCTTCAGCATCGGGTTAATTTTGGCACCAAGGATCAAAATGTTGTTATACACCTTTGTTACAAACTTGGTGTTATCTTTGGTGTTATCTGCAATCTCCACAAGGGCGTGCAGAACTGTATTGCCCATAGAGTCCTGGCCAGCTATATTGGCTGGATGATACCGATTCTCGAGGAGGAATTTCACAATACCTAGCTGGTTGGTGCAGGCAGCCAGGGAAAGAGGCAGTTCACCTAATGGCAAGCAACATGAACCACTGGTCAGAAAACTCACCATATGTACAAAAGTCACCTTTATGAGCCTAAAAGCAAAGGAGAATCTGAAACCTCTGCAAGTCTGAAACCTCCCACCATGACCAGACGGGTGAGCAGTTCTCCATCAAATACTGTACCAAATCGTAGTCTCATTGTAAAAATTGTATTTCCCTATGGGACTTAAGCACTGCATAAAACTTGTGCAGGCCCTCTAAACATGGGTGAATTTCACTCACTAGTGAACATGTTCATACCTTGCTGATCGATACACAGGGGTTATCTGGACCCAGCATATGAAGAGTTGAAAAAAACAAAAACAAACCAGAATTCTCAAATTAGAAATGCACATTGAATGGTCCCTATGTATTTTGGTTAAAAGGACTGAATGTGTTAAGGGAGTTTTCCCCCAAAGAAGACTTAGTGTGTCAGGTCCAAACACAAGAAGTTTTAGGCAGAAAAAAAAAAATTATGCTTGGATTATAACATCCTCTTCCCACTGAAAATAGATGGCTATAGAAATATTGAGTGCAGGGCTAGAAAGTGCCTTTAATAATGATACAACCCATCAAGAGATACAGAGGTAGTTGAAGACAAATGGGGTTAGGTACCCATCTTGCACTGAATAGCCATGGGAAATACATGCCTAACTGCCTTAGCTCCTTTGTAATCCCAGCCCCCATTAGGGAAATACTTGGGAAGGTTGGATTAGCCCCTCTGCTATTTGTGGGTCATCTGGTCCCCCATAATCAGGAGTATTTGAACAGCTCACATTTGGGACAACTCTCTTGGTTACTTGATCAGTGACTGAAATCATGTATCATGCTCCTTGTTTTCCCTACCAAAATAAAAGCCAGGTTTCCCTTTGATTTTTCTGAAGAACTCCCCGTGGGCTCTCGCATGAACGTCTGCTCCATTTTGGACCAAGAGCTTCACCAAGTACATATTCCTCCTCTCGATGGCAATATGGAGAGCGGTCTGACCTAGGGAAACACTCATCAGACCACAGAAATCTCACTTCACATAACACAGAGAAACAGCTGCCAGACACTACAGGCTCCTTCTTCTGAGGTTAATGCAATGTTGGTGAAAAGGGACAAATTGAACAGCCCTGGAGACTGAAGTGCTCTATTTATCAACAGAATGGAGACAACAGAGGCAGCAAATGCAGGCTTCATTGCTCCCCTGCCAATGTGCTCCCAACCCTATCCCACCAATGTACATCTAGAAGAGGAAGAAAATTAGACCACATTAACCAAACATGTCACTGGCAGAAATAGCCGATGTGATCCAGGTATTTCAGGAACACAAGTGCTGACTAATAGCCAGGCTCTCCGGCAGTTTGTGATTCTGCTTTCCTAGAACCAGAGCTTCATTCTTGGTTACATTCAGAGAAACGCCTAAAGGGCTCAGACAGTCCTGTGTAGCCTATCTCCAGTCTTTCTATACAGACGTAGTCTCAGGCAAGGCCAGACATTCTCCCAGCTGCCTCTCTTACCCTTGTAGTAGTTGTCAGTATATTCTGCATTAACTAACTCTTTCAGATTGCCGGTCTTCTCTGCAATTTCCAGAAGCAGGGGAATGGTATCGTTCTTCCCATCATGCAGATTCAGCATGGCTTTCAATAAGCAGGTTTTCCCAGTTTCCGGCTCTGTAACACAAAGGGTTACAGCTATAAAAAGGGGCATTACAAACCTGCCCTCTGACACCTAGGCATGCAGTAATCACAAGGGATCTGGGATCTTCTGAATGGATGGAAGAACCCAGGGACATTTAGGGTTTCACAAATAACCTCTCAAACTTTTCTGAAATTTCCAGCATCTTTATAGAGAATTGCCCAGTCTATAGGAAACTACTGCATGACGCAGAATCCCCTGCGATGTCTTACCGTGTATTTAAGTAAACACCATGCTGATCTTTTAATATCAGCCACGCTGCTGGAAGAGGGAAATGGCTTTTGGATGCATCTGACACTACTAGGTACCTTTGAACTCATTGTCTGTGAGATGCTTCCGGGTCTCATGGAGATAGGTCAGCAGGTCATTCAGATCACTTGTGTCACCTTCAGCCACAGCATCAAAGATCCTTCTGCAATCATAGAACTTGAAAGCTTTTTCTGAGCAGCTTGCAATGGAATTGGTAGATAGGAGTCTGACAAAGATAAATTTAGTTACTGAAACGTAAGGATTAAGCAAGTCTCTTAAAAACCACCAGACAATTATATTTCTATTACTGGCTTTCAGTGGCACACACATTAGTGAATATTACATATATTAGTTGTACCGTCTGTAAGATCATAAAGGTTTAGACAAGCAGATGTACTGGTGAAATTATGTTTTTACTGGTGAAAAGTTAAGAACAAGAACTCAAATCTAATTAAGCAACTAAGTCTAACATCTGATCACGCTCCTGGGAGCCAAGAACTCCTCTGAGTTCTAATCCCAGCTCTACCACTGGTTCACTGTATAGCTTTGGCTAAATGATACAGGGCAACATTTTCAAAGGTGCCCACTAATTTTGAGTAAGACACCAAAGAGTTTGATTCCTAGAGGCACTATTGATTCATTTGGAGAGTAGATTGCATTCAGAGATAGAACTCCAGGATGGGCAATAGTCATTAAATGGTCCATAGTATTTGGGATACTTCCCGTTCTTTAAGCATAGGAAATACTGAAATATCTGCTGTAAAATCAAATACTGTGGTGCAATGGATAAATGCTGAGCTATGCAACCCAACCCCTGTCATAATATATATCCAATATATCAGGAACTTACTTGGCAAATTGATTGTGTATTTTTGTCCTTTCCATATTGATATTAAACTTGATGATGGGAGCAGACCCCAGGTGGTCCATCTGGTACAAGGAGTCCATAGGCGCCATGTTCTTATCGCTATCCCCCATCCCAAAGCGGCCTCGTCTAGCGAAGATGTTGCTTTTGGGCAGCTGCTGTACCTTTGTGCTCTGGCTTCCCTGAAGGCTTTCAGGGGTTCCCAGAATGGAATCCTCACCATCTGTGTGCTCGTCCGTGACTTCAGAGTCCTCCACATCAGAACTGCCAAGTTTCCTCATCTTTCCAAGGATGGATGACATGGCCAGCAGGCTGCAGGGAACCCAGTGACATTAATCCTGCCACCTGATAAACTATGTGGAGCTTAGTCTGGCTTCAGTTATGATTCTTCACCAGTTAGAAAATGAGTTGCTTTCTTTTTCTTTTAAGTGAAGGTGCTGGCTGCCATCCTGTATTACCAGAGCAGGTACAGCAGCAGTATACGCTTTCTACTCACTGCTCCGCTCGGCCTGTGTGCCTCATCCCTGATCTGGAGAGACCAACCACTGCTTTGGGTTAAGAGAGGAATTCAGAGGAATTCTGCTGAGATTACCAATAAGGGGGCCAATTGGTGCCAATCGTGGTCATGGTTCTTGTGATGTGGTCACTTGTTCACTTAAGGCTGGGGCTGTCTCTTTTCTATTCTATTACCTCATCACCTCCAACTCATTTCATACGAGCCCATCAAACAGCTATAGGATGGTACATTGCTCAACTGCCACCACCGTTCTGGTGATAAACACTGACTTGGTATTCTGCTTCACAGACAAACCAAGCCTCTTCTGGCTCACAAAGCTCTGACTTACAGTAAAAGAATCAGGGGTAAGGTCTTGAAGGAAACTCAATAGAGATTCTCCCCCTACCCCACTAGCCAGTACCTGGCAGACACTGGGAAATAATATGGCAGACTTACAGAGTGTTACAAAGCCAGGAGCAAATAAAAATATATACATGCCAGGAGGGAAAGACTGCAGGGCCAGATGTCAGGTCCTTGTGCATGCTGGGGAGGAAGAGGAAACAAAGACACATGGAGCTCTTGTAAGGCTTATGGAAAGGTATAAATTACTACACAGGCACATTGATTTGGTATGGTTCTATTATCCTGTCTTGGAAGACACCAATATCTAAAATGAAAACCTCGCTAACAAGGCAGTATCTGGTAGTGTGAAGAGAAATTTTCCTCTTCGCCCCTGCAGCAATCCACTGATGCCCTGAAGCATGAGGTTTCATTGTTCATGTCTTCATCTATATAATTTTTTTTACTTTGTTCATGAAATAATTTTTACAGTATCCTACTGTGAACATGAAGAGAAGAAATGTGACACGAAGGATCTGGTCTTCACCACCCATGAAGCCATCCTCAGCAAACGTGCTACTCCCCACCAGATGAAGCACTGAACTGTTTAGAAAGTGACTTTTAGCTCACACTGTCCTGTCCTTTAGCATTTTGTTAGGCAGGCAGCTTGGGTTTTCTGCATGCTTCAACATAACTATTCACGCGAATAGCTCCTAACCTGAAGGAAATAGCCTCCGTATGTGAAATCAGTATGCAGCAACATGCCCTCTGGGATGATCCACCAAAGAAGAGGCTGCAGCACTTATTAATAAACCAACTGATGTGGAAAATCATTTTTACTACTTCTGGGGGCATTCTGTGCCAAAAAAATTAAAAGTTCCGCACACAATATTTTAAAATTCTGCAAATTTTATTTGTCAAAATAACACTGCAGAATCATGCCAGTTTCAATTATTTTGGTAATTTATTTCAAAATCCCTGTCAGCAAGTACGTCTGTACCAAAACAGACACACACAAAAATTCCCCTGGGAGTAGAGAGTTAAAGAAACCCCTATGACAACCCAGCTCCTCTTTCTCTGCCCCCTTCTCCCCCCAGAGCCCAGCCGTGGGGCCAGACACCCACAACCGCTCCCCTGCAGAGCCCATCTGCGAGGCCCTCCCCTTCTCCGCCCAGGGATCCAGCGTTAGAAACAGCCTAATGCTTGGTCCCAGGCTTGCACAGAGTTTCCTGCATGCTGCCCTCTCCTTCCCTCAGGGAACATGCTGGGAACTGCAGCTGCCAGGAACCCTCTAACTCCCTCTCCCTCCCCCCAGCAGTGTCTTCTATGTACAAGCTGGGCTCTGCCGAGTCCAGTGGCCCCTAGTGGCAGCTAGAAGCACTGCAGTCCATTTCTGTGGGGGATAGGAAATTCTGCGTGCACGTTAATTTCTGCAAAATTCTGCATTGCATAGTAGCGAAGAATTCCCCCAGGAGTAAAATTTTACACAGGATCATAGGGGCAAACTACATCACCTCAGAACATGATAGATCCCTGGCAAGGAGAAAACAACAATCTCTTTGCACATGAGTAATTAAAGCTCAAAGTAAGTTTCTCTCTGTTTGGAAACAAGAAGGCTAATTCTGCTCTCAGACCAGGGTAAATCAGGAGTATCTCATTTATATGAAAGGAGTTGCACCAGTCGGTAAGTGATAGCAGAATCAGGTCCACGGCATCTACCACAAACAAGCTCTCTCATTCTCCCTTTGCCCATCTGATGAGAGTCAGGGGATACAAGAAGGGGAGAGGGCAAGTTGTGTTAGTTGCAGGATAAGCATCAATCAAGAGAAACAGGACAAAGTAAGGAGCTGACACTGGGGAGAGCAGATGAGAAAGGGATGGAGAGAGGAGGTGTGCTAAAGAAATGAATGAAACAGGTGTCCAGCAAGTTTGAAATGTCAGATGTTGCTGAAAGGGATTTGGAGGACAGGACTGTAAGAAGATGCTAAGTTGTTGTGGATGGGCCTGTTAAGAGCACATAACTAGATGGGTAGTAATTAGTCTTGTGTGGGTAGAGGTTAAGGATATTCCTCCAAAGGTTGATCTATTCACCAGTGAACTGGGCCTCAACCAGTGTCTTTGCGCATGAGGGCTGCATCTCAGCCATGTAGGAGCAAAGAGACGTTCGGCTAACATGGGAAATTACCATGTACTGACTTCAGTGGAGTCACAGTGGTGTATAATTGGCATAAGAGACTGGAGAACCAGTTCCAGTCAAGATAGCCACTAGACAGGTGGTCCTTGGAAGCTAATAGTCACCTCAGGGACACTAAAAAAGTAAAAAAAAGGACAAGTTACTATAGATGAGTAATATCTGGAAGGCCAGCACTTGTAATTGTAAATCAAACACAATCAAACAAATATGTTAAAATGAAGTGTTGTTGTAGCCGTGATGGTCCCAGGATATTAGAGAGACAAGGTGGGTGAGGTAACATCTTTTATTGGACTGAAGTTGGTCCAATAAAATATATTACCTCATCCACCTTGCCATGCTAAAATTAAGACTGTTTCTAGACTCTTTTATCATTAAAGTGTTTTAAACAGTGCAGTGTGATCAAGAGGAAATGAGGCAAACACGGATACATTGAGGCGAATCTGACATGGGGTAGGAACTGCTGCTCATATCATTATTAGATGTAAAGTACTCTGGAGGATCAGTAGTAGAGAAAGCAATTCACTGTACCCCTTTTGAACTTTGACACAGCCAGATTTGAGAGAGTGTGGAATGTCCTCCTACGAAACATTTCCTGAAATCCCAGACTGTCTGGAAAATCTAATGCTTTGAAAACAAGGGTTTTATGAAATCCTGCAACAACAAGTGCCCTCCTCAGCTATAAACAGACCACCATGCTAAGAATTATTATGTATACAAGCAATAGCTGACCAGTGACCTCAAACGTGCTTATGGTGGCAAGTTAGCAAGACCACAGTTAAAGTTATATCAGGATTTTCAGTTCAGTAGGATTCATTAACCTCTAAATCAACAGCACCTATACAATTTTCTATGGAAGTAAACATGGAATGAGAATGATGTTGTTTGTTTGAATTTTCAATAACGATACAGCATCAACAACAAAACAAAAATAGAAAATGTTAAAATGACATCTACCATAATTTAGCTTTGGGGTGCATTTTTGCTTAAATTTCCAGTTCTGTGGGTCTCTCACAAAAATAAATAGAAATAAATAAAAAAGAACTTTTCCTAATATCTTAAATTATTCTGTAAACAAGAAATAATGCAAAAAATAACTTTTCATTTACAGTTTGATATTAAAATACTTAAGAACTATAATGTTCCCTGAAATAATCAACAGTGGGTTTAAAGAATGAAAATAATCATGGGGTTTTGGTTTGGGGTTGGGTTTTTTTTTCTCTTTTTGTGGGGAGGGGTATTGTCTCCTTTAAGCGAATGTACATCTGGCAAAAAATGTCAGACTGGAACCTGGAGACCTTTATTTCTCTACAGAACAGGTAGAGTATAGACAGCAGCACAATGACCTTTCTCTCATTGCCTTATCAATACACCATAACCGTTTTCATCATTCCAAAAGCTTTAGTTTTAAAAACGCTTGGTAGAAACTTCAATAATGACAGGAAAGCTACTCAGTCTCATACAGGTCTGAATTTGCAAGATGTAAAGACTTAAAAATTCACTGGAAAGATATTTTGTCTTTAAATTTCTCATGTGCTATCCAGATAAAATGTACCTAATTTGGGCTCTTCTAATCCAGTGTATATCAAGATTCAATCCTATACAACAAGATAAATGAAAGTATTGCTTATAAGAGCCTCCAATTGAACCACAACTAGTGATAAATACCAAAGGGTAATTTACAAACAATGCAAAAGCATGCTATTCAAATATACATGCAAGACTTACAAAAGCTCCAAGAAATGCCACCTTCTGCAAAATAATCCAGTCTCAATAAGTACTCTCTGATCTACAGGAGTTTTTTCCCCCCTACAGTTTTCAGGAGTCCTCTCTTCTTAGGTGATTTGTTTGGAGCAACATCACAGATCTTCCCTCCACTTCGTTTGTCTGCGGGATTGTTCTACACTCGGATCGTTTGGTAAGTCTGAGGATGTGCACTAGAACATTAACTTGACTAATATAATAATTAAGAGCTATCCTAGAAGCAGAAGTAACAGCAGCAGCTACTCCCGAGAGTGTATCAAAGCTCTTTACAAGAATCCCCGTTGTTGTTTTTTTTTCCAAATGACATTTAGCAATGGACACTCCTTTCCAGATTTCTTCTTCACAGACACAACTGACGTTCCCAGGCTGAATGTTTTTGTGGTTCAGCTGTACACATCACTTAATATGAAAGTTTGTAGAGATCTTTTCTGAGATGGTTCATCTTTGCAGTGGCTGTTAGTGATGTTATAATACAGATCTACATACTATCCAAAGAGGAGTTTGATTACAAA